AGAGGTAAGTTTGAGAGACTTGTACTTATCCTGCGCCATGTGGAAGGCACAGGAAAGAGAATCCTTTTCACCTATCTGGCTTTGGGTGATTTGGTGGTGGGCAGAGAGAAGCTGAGAAAGCTTCTGGGTAGCTCACATTCTGGTCTCCTTCCCTCCCTACCCACCAAAACAGCCCCTTTCCATCTCTCTGAGGTTGTGTTCCCAACCTCAGAGCACAGTTCTTTCCATGTTTGGCTGTGAGGGAGAAGGGGACTGGATCTTGCATCCCCCTCTCCAAAACTGGAGCGTTGGTTCTCCTTAGATGGGAGAATCCGAATGATGCATTGGTCCTTCCCGTGCTGTCCAAGGGCCATCAATTTGCTCCCTGCATAAATTAAAAATATATTTCCCCTTGTGGTGCTTTTAGAAACACTCCCTTGCAGGAATAGCACATCTCCAGTTTGCTTCCATTCAGTTTCTCACAGTTCCAGCCTTAAGCTCCGTTTGGCTTGTTCCTTCAAACTGCCCCATTTTGAAATCGTGCTTGACTTTTAGTGTACAACTCAGTTCACTTGTGGTGGAGGGAGGTGTAAATTTTGTAGCTTTCCATACAAATTCAGGCCAGGAAAATTTCTCGCGCATCCTTGCTCCCTAGAGTCACAATCCCACAAGCTTAAAATTGCAATCCAGTACATATTGACCTGTGAATGAATCCCATTTGTGTAAGAAATGGTAAGTTTGCACATAACCTAAACAACCGCACATTAAATCAACCCCACTCTGTTTGTTTGCTCTCCCTCCTCTTTCCAGGCATGTTATAATTATTTATAGTTATAAATATATAATAGTTATATATATATAACTATATATATAATAGTTATATATATATAAGTATATATATAATAGTTATATATTTTTTAAATGGAAAATGGCCGAGGGCAGAGATCAGTCATTTTTTTCTGTAAAACGCTCTTGAACCCATGGCCACAATCTAGAACCTTCGAACCTGGCTGGAGTTAAGCCCCAGTGGACCAGACTCACTTGGCATGTATGAGATTGAGCTGCAATTGAACAAAAAAAGATTAATCCAGTTTAGCCGCTGGGTGGAAGGCAGGCAGTTAATTTGGGGTGCTGGCAGGTCTTTTCTCCTGCCGCCCAGCAGAAAGAAAGAAAGAAAGAAAGAAAGAAAGAGAGAGAGAGAGAGAGAGAGAGAGAGAGAGAGAGAGAGAGAGAGCGCGCGCGCGCGCGCGAGCGAGCGAGCGAGCAAGCTAGCTAGCTTTTTCCAAAGGCATCATCCCTGTAGCCTTTTCTGGAATTCCTGCCTCATTCCAGGTGCTATTGGACAACCCCTCCGGCACAACGACTGCCTTCCTGAAGCAGAACTGGGAAAACACGGCCAGCCCAGAACTTAGCTTGGTTGCCTGCACTTCCGTAGGGCGAGACTAATCTGTGTCGACAGGACTTGCATCTTGGCTGGAAGAAAAGCAGACGTGGATCCTTCCTGACAGCGAGGCTCAACCGCGACCGGAAAATGTGCACTGACGGAGGGGGTGAGGCTCCCCAGAGCAGTTCTTGGTCTACCTGGACAGCTGGGGATGCTTCCGCTCTGTGTGACGACGGCTTTAGGCTCCTCAGGTTTTGCTTCTCAGCCACCTCGTTGGTTTGAGTGCCGTCCCAGTCGTGTTTGCAAAACAGGCCGTGTCGAATTCCCACTCTGTCAATGCCTCTTATCCTGAGACAGATCCAAACCACGAACACCAGCCCTCCCCAGCCAGGGACCCTCCAAAAGTTTTGGAGCACAAACATGGAACTGTGCTGGCTGGGACTGATGGGAGTTGACATCCAGAAGGGCTGAAAGGGATAAGTTTGAGGTGATGGTTCAGGTGCAGATTCTCCAGGATTTCAGGATCTGTTGCACCATACCTGGAATGGGCAGGATTTGAACCTGGGCCGAGGCAGAAGAATCCATGCAGCTGAGCGTCCGCAGAACTCCAGGTTCTGCCCTCAAGTTCAGGCTGCCTTGTTCCTGTTTTCAACGGCAGTCTGTTTTTCTGCTCATCTGCATGGGAAATGTTGTCGGAAAGGAGCTTCATTCTGCACGATGGGTAATCCAGCGTGGTGGGTTTTAACCAAGCCTGCAGATCAGCCATTGCAGGAGAGATACCGGAAGCTGTCCAGCATTGTGCCAAGCGTCTCCCCCCACAAAGGAAAGGCATCGCTGAGGCATCTTTCCTTCTTGATACAGAAGGAAGTAGAAAACTGCCCCGTTGCTACAGGTGAAAAATTAGAGGAACACGTATCTGCTTGTTCTGATGTTGATTTATGGCAGGCACCTCGAGTCAAAATGAGCTGTGAGTTCCAACGAATTCAGCCTCCATCCTCGGTTATCAAAACAGGGTGATCTAGTATACCCTGAGTCTTGTCCAGGATGCCGCCTTCTTGGCACATACACATGGTTTAGTTTCCCACCATGCCTATCTGACCAGAAAACGTTCAATGCTGGAACATCTCCTTTTTCCAAAGAAAAGTGAACTGTTTTGTCAGCCTCGTGGAGACAACACGTGCATCGTTCTTATTTTCCAAACCCCCATTTTAATTTTTTTTTTTTAAGGGAAACGCAAGTAAAGAAGCATTCAGGCCTTTCTCGGAAGAAATATGCTGGTGCTCGTGTCTGCCTTTGGAGCTGCAAATGCGAGTCACAAAGGGAAGCGGAGCAGAATCCTTATGGCTGGGACATGGCTGATGCAATCCTAAATGTGGGACCTTTGTGGGATCCTAGGCCTGGAAGCTGCCGTACGCCATGTGTGGCCTTCCCCAAGGCAGTCGTGGTTCGGCATGTGGCAGGGGCCCAGAACCTGGCAGGGGTCCACCCGCAAGATCCAGCCCCCGGAGCTGCACTTCCCTCGGCCATCACGACTGTTCGGCCTCCTAACGCTTGCGCTGGCTGGATAATGCTGGGATGAGGATGCCACGGCTGGCTTGCTCCCTGGAGCACGGTATGCGAAGCAAGCTGGTGGCACTGGAGGTGAGAAGGGGGCTTCTTGGAGGGGTCTTGCCGGGGGTCCCGGAAGAGCCGAAAGGGGTGCAAGCGTCCCCTTCCAAGTGGAGCGGCGCTCATCCTGAGTCTTGGATTTAAAAGCTCTTGTACTTATATTTTTTGCCAATGGGCTACAGAGAGAAATGGAGCAAGAGGGAACAAAATAGCAATTTAAACAGCACGTTGACGGAAATACGGTGCTGTTTGTTTCTTAGATTCTACTCTGGGCAGATTGCAAAATATAATAACAACAATATACACGATCAACATGATACATCTTAGCAATTATATCACAAGCATAAAATCACAATGATCAGAGAAACAGCCCTGCAGTAAAACCACACAATAACTTCAGTTCTTAATAAAAGGCGCAGTAGCGCAAGAAGTAATAAACACCATAAAATCTTTTAAATTATCTTAATGAAAATATTGGATAAATAAAAAGACTAGAGAAGTCTAGAGAGAAGGTACCAGGCAAACCTTTTCGGGAAGACTGGTGACCCTCTTTGGAAGGGACCAGTCCAAAACTGGGAGAACTGGGAGGGGAAGTAAAGACTCTACTGGAAAGCTTTCTTGCTTTGTTTTGCCAAACGTCCAAGGTCCCCCGGCTTGGAACAGTGCGGCAAAAACAGTTGCCCAAGAAGGCAGCCACAGAATTGTGGCACAAGGTGCTTCCAAGCACATGCTCCGATCAGGACCAGAACTGGATTCGTGCACAGCGGTTTACCAGCCGAACAAGCAGCCCCACTGTAACCACTAGGCCATACGGTCCCTTGGCACTTTGCCCTCACAAAGCAACGTGCAATCTTCACTTGCTCTAGTGAGGCACGCGTGTTAGAGGGGAAGATCACATTCTCTGTGTCAGCCCGGTGCAAACCTCTCGGGTTGAATCGGGGGCGCATCCTCCCAAGTTGGCACCTTTGAGAAACAGGGACATGGCCCTGGGTGACATTTTCCCAATGAATCGGGAGATCAGGTTCCCTTGCGCCCTGGAGATGCTGGAACTCTGCTCTGTTGTGCACCAACAAACCTGCCTCTTCCAGTCATGAAACCGAAACTGCAAACCTGAACTCGTGTCAGAGCGCTGGGAGCCAGCCGGCCGTGGGGGAGGCGGAATGTTTTGCTCTACATACCAAGTGGGAGCTGGGCCCGGAGCGGACAGCCCTGATCTGTTTTCCTCTGCACAAAGCCCCCCGTGTCCCTTCTAGCCTGGAATGAAAGCATGCGCTCCTACCCTTCGGCTAGAGCCAAGGAAGTGACCGCATCTGCGGAGCAGCGTAAATAACATTGTACGCGTCCCGTTTCCAGGCACGCCAAGTTTCTCTTCTCTCCAAAGGACACCAGTGCCATCCATAAATGTACAAACTGCTCCTGGCGGCTCCGGGCCAGGCTTACTGCTGCAGGATGAATGAGGGGTGTCGTGATATGAAAGGCATGCCCAGGAGGAACCTCGGCAGCCCTAGGCGCCTCCGCACACCAGTCCCCGAGACCTCTGCCCTGCCCAGGCTCTCCCCATCGCAACAGCGCACCCACTCAGCCTCGCCTTTTGCCCAGGACCGGCTGCGTGTTTGGGGCTGGGGGTTATAAATCGATCCCACCAAAGAGCGCCTTTCCTTTCTTCCCCTTCTACAGCGCTCCGTTCGCAGCACTTCACACTCAGATCACATTGCCTCCTGCCAAGCCGGAGCTTATGCCAAGTCTGGGACAGAAGATGACAATCGATACCATGCAGAGGCGTGTTTCAGTTCCCATGGAAAGAACACCGGCGTCCAAAAATGCTTCTGTTCCTGCACGCCTTCACTTCGGTGGCCATTTGGGGTTGTTCTGGCCTTCTGGAGTCTCCCCCCTTCCAGTGCTTCCCCCCCCCTTCCAGTGCTTTTCTCCCCCCCCCCCCTTCCACTGTGAAGGATAGTTTTGGGGGCAACATCAAAGACGGCTGGTAGGTCTTCCAGGCCAGAGTGGAGGGGAGGTAAAAATGTTTTACCTTGAACACCAGAGTTTTGCTTTCTTCTTCTCTTAATATACCAAGTTCTTCATGCAGAAAAATCTCCCTGCTCTTCAGAGCCTGAGCCAGATTCTTCACCTTCCTACCTGGGAAGGCCAGTCCTGGAAGACACCTAGAAAAAATGCAAGCTCTTATTCAGGCCAATAGCAATGTACCACATTTCTATGCCCCCTAAAAGCCAAGACCCTTTCACAACATTTTGCATTCCAAGCTCCCCGCTCTCCTTCAGGATGAAGGCTTCCACGAGGCACCAAATGGCCTTTCTGTTTTCTTTGGGTACCTTGGAAACAAGAGATATCAGAAAACAAGGGCTATTTAAAATTGCTATAAATTGCTGTGGGGATAAAGAGATTTGATGAGTATTAAAGCTTCTTTCTTCCCACCTTGCAATTGATTCAGGACTTGATGCGATTTTAATTCGGTATTATTATATCGATTTGTTTCTGGATGTATTTCTCCGTGCCTCCGGCTCAGCTACTGAAAATTTATCTCAGAAAGACAATGGGAACATTTGCCCACCTGCATTTCAGAACAGGATGCGAAGGGTTTCCGCTTTTCTAAATGAATGGACAGCAACCTTCTAATGGTGAAGACAATGTTTTACCTGTATGCCAGAAATTTGCGTTCTTCTTCTCTTAATATACAAGTTTTTGGTGGAGGAAATCAGGCAGGCGAGTAAACAGACAGTTCTCGCATCTGAACCCGTTTCCAATTACTTCACAAATCGCAACTCACCGTTCACAATCTTTGCACACAAACACACGTCATTTTTGGCTGAAATTGTTCACTTTTGTTTCCAGTTTGCCATTTCGTTCCAGAGAGTGTCGGCTGGTTTCCTTTAGCCCTGATCGAAAGAGGTGGAAACATACCTGATAGCTAGTAGCCACCAGCCACCTGCGTGCCTTAAGACACAACCCAGTGCAGAAAGGATGTTTCCCATGAGATGGACGCCTGACCCACACTCTTAGGAGGTCTGCCTTAACCAATACACTTCCTGAGGAAGCGCTTTGGCCAGCTGCAAACATCTGTCTTAACCTATTGGGAGAACAGATGGGGGTCAGCCACAGCGAATCGGCTAAATCCCTAGGATTGTCAATATCATGTTTTGAAAGCGTTGGAAGATCACGCTGCTCTCAGAAAGCTGTTATTTTCTCTGGCATTTTGGCAAAGATTGAGACGCGGCTACAGCCTCTGAAGAACTGAAATTCACACCCAGCTGGTCTTGTTTTGATATTCCACATTCATTAACCTGACATTTTACTAACCCCTACTTGGGCTGATGCTGTGAAATGTGGCAGGCACGGGGAGGGTGTGCCAAGAAATAATGATCTGTGTAGCTATTGAATATTAACGATTGTATTCTTAACTCGGAATGGCTCCAAGGATCACAGACAGATGGTCATGGCTTGGCCATAGCAGACAGTCTGGAGTGAGCCAGGAACCAGAACTAAGCAGCAAAGAAGATCAGAGAATAAACAGAAGACAGGTCGAGAAAATAAGCTGGGGAAGGACTGAAGAGCCATTGGGATGGGCGGATGAACCAGGGGGGTGAGCTGAAGAGAAACCAGGACCAAAGTGCGATCCAGAGAAGCCAATAAACCAGGAAAAGGCCTGGAGAGCAAGCAAAGAGTTAGAACTAAATTGCAAGCTGGGGACAGCCAGCTAAGAGTTAAGACTGAAAGGCTGCCTAGAGTGGAAAATGACCTGGGAAGCAGGGTTTAAAAGCAAACTGGATCAGAGAAGAAACTAAAGGCAGAACCAGAAAACAAGCAAGGACTGGAAAGCAACTGGGATCAAAGCAGAGAGGGCCAGGAGGAGGGTGGGCCAAAACCACAGGCGTAAAGAGCAAGGGCTGAATCAGGAAGCGGGAGTGGAGGAAGGGCGCGAGAGCAACCAGATGGAAGGACAGTCAAGGGGAGAGCATCGGCCAGGAGGCTGGGGCAGACCAAGACTCCCTGGGAGCAGAGGCCGGTGGGACAAGCCAAAGCGCAGGATCAAAGCACGACTGGCGATGCAGAGGGGCGCCGGAGGTCGGGCGGACGGCTTTGCACAAGTGGGGAAGCAGTGGGGCGAGAAGGGAAGGAGCCCAAACACCAGCCTGGCAGAGAACGCCAAAGCAAGGCTGGAATGCTCTGTCCGGAGATTACGGAAGATTGTGCAGCTTGCTGAGGAGGCAGAGTTCAGGTTGTGACAATGAAGACACAGTTCAGAGACCGCTGTCCCCAAATAAGAGTTTCTGGAAAGAAATAACAGCGCTGGATTCGGGGGGGGGGGTCCCTTCGGATGCACATTTTGCCCTGTGATCCCAACGAGGCAGAATCCAGGCGAGGTGGGAAGAGGGAGGCAAGACCTGTGTCATAAGGGCTAGAAACTTGCTCCAAAAACAAAAGGAAGATGTGATCTTTTGCAAGATACTGAGCTTTGCTCCCATGATAGGTGTTTTTTTTTTTTTGTTTTTTTTTTGTGAGCCGCCCCAAGGCTTTGTTGCGATGGGGGCGGCATAGAAATGTTTTAAATAAATAAAATAAATAAATGAAGGTGGGCCTTCAGCATCCTTGAGAATGGGCCCTTCCATTTCTTCTCTGTGTTAACTACAGAACTGATCTTCTTAAAATCTTTTCTCACTATGTTATCAGCCACCTAATCTGCTCTGGGCTGAAGAAAGAAAAGAAAAAGCAAAAGTCAGAACAGAGCTATCGATGATTTCTCATTGGCCTGTTGACAAATTTCCCTCTTAGATCGCCAAGATCTATGGCTGATTTTAAAAAGGGAAAGAAACAGCCTTTATAGTGTTTCAAAAAGGGTGCGGGGAAGGAAATACGCTGACTTGGAACATCCATTCCTGAAATCAAATGTTACAACTTGAACCAATGTATATATTTTCCATTGCTTCACTGTTTTGGCCTGGAGGGCTCTTGGAAAAATGTGATCACTGCTCTATATCGCCCTGCGTAACTGAGCAAGACTCTCCCTGTAAGCTACAAAGCTGAAAAGCTTTTAATAATAATGAATAAAAGACTGAGGGAATTTTGGAGACAAATTTTCCATCTATCTCTGTGCCATCAGCAACCAAATAAAATCTTTGATGGCCGTTTCATAGCCCCAGGGCCAGCAATTAAATAGTTTGTCACAGATGACGGAAGCTGGGAGTCAGTTTGGAAACACGTCCAATGGAATTGAGCAAAAGGATGCTTGGGTGCGATCTTTTTTGGTCGTTGCCTGCTGTCAGGATCTCACCAGCATGGCCTTCTCCAAGCTGGTATCCCCCTGAACCCAGATCTTTGCCCATCAGCTCGTTGAGACTGATGGGGAAACGTCTGAAGGGTATCCATGTAGGAAAAGTTACATTAGAAGCACACTGTGCTCTCCTTTCCTCTTTTCCACCACATCCCAGGAGTTCCCGATGGATCATCTTTGGGGCACAGATCCAGAGACGGCATCGCAGCCCCGCCTGGGACTGACCCGCTGCTCCTCACCCAGCCAGTCCTGCCCAGACTCATTTATTTTGATTGATTTAGTTGAATTAGACCATTCTCTAGCAACGCTCTTTCCAGCGTAAAACGCAATCATACAAGGAACAATCACACCCACAGTAATCATAACCGTCTCGAAAATAACAACTGCCATTAACAAGAAGAAGAAAATAATCATGCCCAGTAATGTGTGGATCAAAATACTGATCCACGGCAACCATTCAGCCATAATCTGGACAAAACCAGATTATCCAATCAAGCCATCTATCCAACGATTAAAATGATGGGTGAATTAAAAGGTTTTGCCCTGGTGCCAGAGAGTATACAGTGATGGCACCTAATGCTCCTCCCTGGAGAGTTCGCTCCAGAGATGGGGTGCCACAACCGAGAAGGCCCTTCCCCGTGTGGCCACCTTCCTTCTTTTAGCGGTGGCTCACCAGAGACCTTTAGTACTGGGACGGCATATGAACACTTTAAATAAATAAATGCACGAATAAACAAAAAGGACCTCGGTTATGTGCAGGATCTGCTGACCGCTGCCCCTCCGGTGAGCCACGCGCTTTCAGCCTCCCGGTCACGTGTCGTGAGCGGCCCTCCGCTGCCCCAGGTGCACAGTGCACAGCCGCATCGCTGTGGCTTCCCAGAGAAGAGCCGGCTTTTCCTGGTCTGGGAGAAACTAAGTGGATCATGGGACTCGTTCCTCGAGGCACGAAATTAATCTCAAGCCCATCACACTCCTCAAAGCTGCGCACAGCAGTTCCCCTACCCCCTCCCTTCTCGGAGGGGTCGAGGCTTCCAAAACACCATATTCAACCTCCCTCTTTAGAGACTCCTGAAATAAGTGTTGTGGTCCCAGCACCTTTGGGGTGGTGTACGCACCCCAGGTTGTAGTCTGAATTCCTAAGGAGCCCTCCATGGCCTCAAACTCTCTCTCCCAAAATAGTTTCAGCACCATGGATAATACCTATCAAGTTCAGACTACAACCCGGAGTGGATACACAGCCTCTGTTGAAGAGCACCAGAATATATCTGACTTGTTATCCCACAAAAGGATATAAATGCAAAATATTATTATTATTATTAATAATAATAATAATAATAGACACGGAAAACAGGGACCCTACCGTCTGAATAACTGTATCTGAAGCATTCTGCCTGCAAAGTAGATCACCTAACCCCCTTCCTCCCTCCTTCCTCCTTTTGTGCTCTTTTGGATGGACAGTAATTTCTAACCATGTTTTGGCACTCATCCCTGGGCCTCTAGAGAAATATCACACAGGAAGCCTACAAATGAGAAAAAGTTTCTGGTTCTTCCATCTGTTCTCTCTCTCCCTCTGCCTTTCTCTCTCCCTTCGGTCCTGTGCCGTTTCCACCTCCTCCCAAACCCACCGCCTCCACCGCTGCCTTGTCATGTCAAAACAGAGCGTAATGCTCCCCCGTCCGCAGAATGCCGAGCGGTCCAGAAGTCACTTTGGGTTGTGCCGCTCACCCTGAGCGGTGGGTGCAGAACGACAAGCTGGGCGCCCTTGGGCCTGCTCAGTTGACTGACACGCTGATGCGAAGCGACCTTGAGGAACTAACCACGGAGCATCCCGGGCGAGCCAGGGCGGGGACCGTGTTCCTGTGCAAGCTTCCCTTTGCTCCCAAGTCACTCGAGGGGAACCCAATCTGCCAAAGCCTCTGCCAAAAATATTCCCCCTTTCTTTCTTGCTAACTTTTTGCTGCCTTCCTTTGCAGAAAGCAAAGTCCAGGTGGGTTTGCCAAAGGCTCTGTGTCGGATGCACCATTCCGGGATTTTATGAGCCATCTTCCTGGAGTTCTTGAGGCAAGCAGTGAAATCTTGGAGCAAAAAGCCAGAAGCAATGGGCAACCTCCTTTTTTTGCAGGGTTGCAAAATCCCCAGCTGCTCTCTCCCAGTAGATTCCCATCCTCCCCTGCTCTACCTAACAGAATCTTGCTTCATCTGGCCGAACGTGGTCTGTCTGCTCCGGGGGTTGTCCACCTGGTGTCCCCGGATATTTTGGACCGTGTCTCTCATACTTCCAAGCCTGCATGGCCAGTTGAAAGAAATGCAGGAGGAGCGGACTCAGGAAGTTGGACACGTGAACCGAACCACTGTTTTCACGGCTGCTATTTATTTTGGCAGCTTGGAGCTCATTTTTCACCTCGCTAGAAATGGTGGAGAACGGCCAGAGATGACGAATATTCTTCTCTTTCTAAAGGGCCAGGGAATGAGAAAGGAAGACCTCAGAACATTTCTCAGAATAAGGCCTTTGGAGAAAGTTATGGCTCAGCTCCAGAATGTTGGCCATGCCTGAATATTGTGGAAATGTTGGATGACTAAGTCCTTCTGAGCAGCTTGACAGAAATGCTGTGTATTTTTCATGACAGATCTAGCCAGCTTTTTATCTTTCACCACAAACCCCAAGGTGAAACCATGGCATTGCATTGGCTGTCACAACAACCTTGCGGGGTAGGTTAGGCGGAGAGTCCAGGACTGGCCCAAAGCCACCCAGGGAACCTCATGGTTGGGTGAGGGCTAGAACTGGAATCTCCCAAGTCCTAGGCCAACATGCTAATCGCTCCACCACACTGGCTCACACAACAACCCTGCGAAGTAGGTCAGGTTGCAGCATGGCCTTCCCAGCTGAGCTTGAGGAAGATGGGCATAGTAGATTAAAATCAGCATTCCAGCGTGGGGCGGGTGACCCATGTTATAAATACCTGTGTGAACCAGCCGGAGAATAAGGCATGAGTCAGCAGTTCATGGTGACCTGCCTAAAATATCACCTTTCGAACTGGAGCCCCAGCCATGGAGATCTTACAGGATTTGTTTATGGGACAGCTTAAAGGTGGCAGCAAGTGAGTAACCTGCCCGGCCGCACCACAGGTGCCCGGCGGGGGGATGGTTCCCAAACATGGGACAGCTCAGTGTCTGGCTTAGCGGCTTCCTAGCCCCTGGCCTGGTTCTGAGAAAAGGGGTGTCGGGAGCCCTGGGCCAGAATCCATTTTCCAGGGCCCCCGATTTCTTTGCCCAGACCCAGGGGCTCCTTGGTGCCAATTTTCAAGGGGGCTTGCAGCCAGGGACAGGTCGATGAGTCCGCATCTGAGTGGGGACTAGAAGCTGGATCTCCCGAGTCCCACCCTGGCCCTGTAACCACTACTCCACAGAATTATTTTGGCCCATCAGGATGAATGGGCATGTGAGGGTGAGTCACCAGGATAACATGACTGTGTTCCAAACACTGAATGGGGCCAGAAGGAACTGTTGGCCAGCTCCACGCTTACAAGGAGCTTTGTCACCCATGAACCAGGGCCGGGGCGCATGGTGGATCGGCTTGTGGCTTTGGGAGACGTCGCTAGCTCTATTTTCTGCTTCTCGGGCCGCTCTCCAGAGATGCCGGCCCTTCCTCCAAAGCGTGCATCAGTGCCTTTAGCGAGTTGCCCTGGTCTCTGAACTCCACCCAAAAGTACGGTTGTGGCAATCGTGCCTGGGCCGGACTCTGGAGAGTTTGCAGATGGTATTGTATGCATACAAGCTTGTTTCCAAATCCCATCCTTTCCAAAAGCATTTTTTAGTTACTCCCACGAAACAGTCAGCCCTAGTGGTCCCTGAGGAAAATTCCAAAATCTACATTCATGCAAGCAACATGGATAAATCCCTTGCCATACAAGAAATCAAGCATTGTTTACCTTTTCAGACGATGCAACGGCTGCCCCGTTTTGCAACAGGAGTCTGAGAACCTATTTTAAATTAACATTTCAGTTATGTGGCCAGAGATAGCTTCTGAAATGGAAGGGAATAAATGTAGTCCCCATCCTGTCACCGTAAAGACTGGCTGTAGGGTGACCACTCTTTTTATTTTTAAGGGCTCCTGTGCCTTAAATAACTGCATTACAAAAGAAATTCAGCCAGTGCTTTCCCTATCTGAAATACAGATGAGGGAAAGTGTTTTCTGCTAAATAGGGAACTGAGATGCATAAATTCTAAATGCATAGAAGCTTTCCCAGGGGAAAAAGCTGACAATTCTGGGCAGCCATGGGTGGAAGGAAAAGAGCAGCTAGATATGAGGGTTACAAGAACATCAGAAAAACCCTGCAGGTCCAGCATTTCTGTTTCGTGTCCCAGCAGCTGGCTGCATCAAACCCACAAGCAGGAAATAAGGGTGGGTTTAGGCGCTCAGTGGTTATATTTTGTCTTAACCAGCCAGATTTCTGTGATTCCCACAATGAAACCCCTAGAAATGTAGAAATGTAGCAGGTGGATTGACAAGAGCTTCCCGCAGCTACATTTCTATGTGCGGCACTGTGGTTGCCAGCTTTTTTCTGCATCCTGCTCCTCTTCCTAGAATCGCAACTCAGAAACCTCCAGGAACGAGCAGGTACCATTTTCCCCGAGCCTAGAGACTGGCATCTGCTCCGAATTCCTGCCTGGGGTGGTACAGCTAAAGAGCCTATAGGAAAGTTGGCATCTCTCGTGGAAAGCACAGGGACGGAGATGGCTCGACAAAGACAGTTTGTCCCAGTGATTTCTGCCTGTCTGTTCGCCATGCTCCACAATTCCGCCCTCCCCAGGCGAGCTGAACTTTTAAAGGAGTCAGCCGCTGGAGCAGGAGGGGTGTTTTGCTGCAGCTACTCCTGTCAAGAAGGATTTACGACTTGGAAGGAAGAAAAGGAAAAGAGAGAGAGAGAGAGAGAGAGAGAACCTGAGTTGGAGATTTCGCAACTGTGCAGGGAGCGAGAAATTACCAAGCCCTGGAAGGGTGGGTGTCTCGACTCACGGCCAGAGGGGTGGCATAAAAAGCACAGTTCCTGCCTCACGCTGGGAGAGACTTTAATATGACTGAGTTTAGACAGCCATCCTCTCTTCCCCGTTTCAAGGTTTTGGGTTTAAGGTAGCTGAGCACGAAGTTGCTATGTGGTCCCGAACTCCACTGCCTCTTTTCTGCTTGCAGTTTCTCCTGGGACAAGCACGCCTGCAGAGAGGTGAGTGGTTTCCAGCAAGCGCAGCAAAGCGCGCTTTTATTTCTGGCTATTCTTCGGACTTGTTTGCTTTGTGGGGGGTGGGGGTTGTTGAGGCTTTCCAACATCAATTTTAGCTGGCACTGTTTAAAAACTTGTTTGCAAGCACAGAGGGAGAGAGACACACACAGGCAGAGAAGTCCCGCAGAAGCTATGCGAAGGCTGTAAGACGCACGGTGCTTCCAGACAGAGGGGGCTTGGTGCTAATTATCGGAAAGCAATGCACAGTATTCCTTCTTCATTTTCTTGGAGGATTTTCTGCGTGAATGCAGAGAAGTGGAAGTGGAAGAAGTAGGGGGAAACGCGGCAAGATCGCAAGAGGATTCCTAGGCAGCCTGACTCATAAAATTCCATGAATGGCTCAGATCAAAGATGCTCTTAAACTTTTTCTCAACGCATCCTGAGAGAAGGAATTGTTTTCTGACTTTGTGGAAGTTAGATTTGTCGCCTTGAAAAGTGTCTCTGTACTTGTTCAAGGGCTGCCTTGTGGGTGGGTGTTTTTACTTTCTCTCTACTTTCCTCCACAATCTTGGATATTATTATGAAGCAGTGATGGCAAACCTGTGCCGCCCCACAGAGGTTGGTGGACTCCACTTCCCATCAGCCCCAACTAGCCTGGTCAGGGATGGTGGTCATTGTGGTCCCAGGACATTTGAGGCACTGTGGTTCTCTACCCCGTCACTACAGTTTTAGGCTCTGAGAGGGACGGGAATGCAAAAAGACAGCCTGTTATTTTGATGGTGCCAGCTAATAAATAGACAGGAAAGTGGAGAAGCAGGTCTCTGCCCTGAGGAGGTTACAGATCTAAGTCTTTATGATGCAGGAGGAGAAGACAAAGGTAATGGCAGAGGAACTGGGGGAAAGGCACAGTGGTCCTTGCTTCAGGTGGCGGGTTGCTAAGCGGGGGTACAACAACTTGGTAGGAGAGGGAAAGCGACTGGGAGCCAGGGCAGGGCTGGGTACAGAAAATATTAAATATTTTATGCAAAACTCTGCATCAGCTATGAGACAGCATGGCAGCCAGTAGTGGGGCAGAGAACCTCTCAGAGATGTAGGGCTGCGAGCCACCCTCTAGCAGCCCCTCTGACTGGGGTGTTCTGGCTGTCCAGTGAAAACAGGACAGGACTGGGCAGCTTATGGACCCGACGGACATCTGGTTTTTGTCCTGGCAAAACGGGCAAATGTCCTCGCAGCTGCCGAGCCCCACCTGCTGTGATTTCGGGCACAATGAGCTGCAAAGTGGTGCTCAGCCAGCAGGGCTACTGTGGCCAAACCCGCAAACGCATCCTTGCTCTTGGTACGGTAGCGAGAGAGAGAAATTGGGGGTGGTTCTGGACCAGAAAGCAAGGCCTGGAAAGAGTCAAAGGATTTTATGTCGGTGTTGCCGCAGGAGGCACCCTTCCAGTTGATGCTGAAGTAAATTTCAGCTACCCCGCAGGAGAAATGTTTAAAATTTCAACTTCCAAAGGTAGAGCTGGTCGACAGGGAGTAACAGTCTGCTTTGGAGAGTAGTGGATTTTCTAGAGATCTTTAGGCAAGGCTGCCTGGGACCTCGGTGTCCAAAGATGCTCTAGTGCTAGCTTTCAAGTGCATCGGCAATGGGTTGGAATAGATGGTCTCTGGGGTTCCTTCCACTCTACACCCCATCCCTTCCCTCTTTCCTGCTTGCTGTAATTTTTCCCGCTTCCCCACAGCACCCTTGCAGTTTGGAGGACAGGAGGTCTGGGCAAAAGACACTTGTGCATTTGGGTAGGGTTTACCTTCTGCTTGTCCAGCATCTGTGTAGGACACTTTAGTGTGGATTGTGGCCTAAGTCCTGGGGATTCAAGCCCCAAGAGCTTGTACTGGGATAATCACAAATAGCACCCATCTCCAGTTCCTATCGAAAGCAATGGCGCACGGTAGTCACCACTAACTTAAGAAGGATCCCGATCAGGCCAAGACCCATCTAATCCTGCATTTGGGGTGTACAGACACGAGGCCTCTGATCATGGAGGTCGCATATGGCCATACAGAGTAGCATCTTTGGTTTTAAATGAGCAGTCCTCCAAGATCAAACAAGGCTTCCCCTGGTCCAGCTTTCTGTTCCCTCAGGGGACAACCAACTTTCCACTGCCTTCTCTGAAATGAAACCCGAAGTTTCAGGCACCAAACAGGGATTCTTTCTCCCAGTCTCCACACACTCCTGGGCTGGGGTATTTCTCACCAAGGCTTACCCAAGATCCTAACTGGAGACGTGCGAACTTGACCCTGGGGCCTTCAGGCAGGCAGGTGTGTCACAGCTGGACTGCAGTCCTTTCCTCGAAGGCACAGATCAGGGCAGAGAGATGCTCCAGCCGGGGATGAATCGCTGCGGACATGCCTTCGACGCGGTTTGCCCACAGAAAGAAGGGGCACGTGCTTGGTGGACATCAGCGAGGCCTCGAATTGCACGCAGCTGGAAGGCGGCCATCCTTTGCAATCTTGTGCTCTTTTTCATCGGCTCGCCTGGTAACTGGCCCAGGGCCTGCCTCTGGAAAAGAGTTTGAAGCCGCAAGATAGCAATAAGCCACGTGGTTTGCTTAAAGCGTTCTTGGCTGCACCCTGCTCTTTGGGGCTGCCAGAACTGCTTACATAAGATCAAATGAAAAGAAGACAGTCTCAAAGACACATCATAAAAGGAAAAATGGAAGAGGAGGGAAGAGGCAGCAGTGCGGGGGGGGGGGGGGGGGAGCAGGCCAGGCATCCATTCTTCAGTGTACAGAGAAGTTCTTCAGGACCAGCCACAATAGTTGCAGTGGAACACTGTGTATATTTACAGAGAAGCAAATCCCCTTTGCTCCAATGGGATTTGCTTCCTGCAAGGCACTCCAAGGGTTGTCCTCCAATGAGGGCCATGTAAATGCCGCCGAGGCCCTTATCGGAGGACGAAAGACTGACGTTAGACGCTGTGAATATTTGGCGAATAGCGAAATAGGCAAAAAAGATGGGGCGCATAAAAATAGTTCTATATTGCATTTGAGTCTTCGAAATGCTTAATCCGGTATCATCCTTCCAACCGCCCGACAAGAGAATCACCTACTCCTGGACCAAGAGAGCAGCTTGTTTAATCTGCCTAGGCAGTTCATGGCAGAGGCAAGACTCGAACCAGCAGCTTCTCCAAACCAGTGTTTTAGCAATCATCTGTATTCACCGAGCACCTCTGACCTGCTCTCAGCGGCCCTTTCAGGAAACCTTGGCTAATGGCAGCAAGAACGAAAACACACCCACAGTTTGGGTATTACATTCAGTCCTCAGGCATAAAGAAACTGGATACTTCTCCTCTAACCAGTACATCACCTTGAAGTTGCCACGGATCTATCAAAGACCACCATCTTTTTCCCAGAATCCCCTGACGGTAGCATCATTCTAAAGCATTCTGGGAGGAAAATGGAGGTCAGCATTTTGCAGCAGCCCTTTCCTCCACGAATGTCTCAGAACAGCAGTGCAGAAATGGCTCTGTAGCACATCGACGCACCAGGATTATGTCTTTCCCCTGACATTTCCCTTGCATCTTTGAGAAGAAGCAAAACAGGAAACTGCTGACGTAGAAAGCAAAAGCTGAGCACCCGAACCTGCTGAAAGACACAGCTAGCTGCAAGCGAGTTTCTGACACCCAAGTAGGTTATGGGGGATGGAACAGCACAGCTCTGGTACTCCATCAGAATTTTCTCCAATGCCCACGCGGGTTGCGTCATCGGTTGCCCTCTGTCCCTCTTTTGTAAGGCATGCTAGAAACTGGGAACATTTTGCTGACAAAGGAGGGATGTTCTGGCTCGTAAGAGAAATGCGTAGCTGTGGTGCAGCGCGCTTTTCTTCCTGCTTGGTCCCCTCCGACCGCGATGCTGCTAAGGAACCTTGAGCTGAACAAGCCCTGTGTTTGTACTGCTTTAGGATGCATGGGAAAAAATGGTTGGGTAGACATTTTTAGACAAATTTAGCAAGTTTGCACCTTCCGGGGTATACACAAACTGGAACGGCCTCTCATGCTGAAATTTGCACTTTTCCGATTTTAGCAAACAAATGTGCAGCTCTCTGGGTTTGCCTCTCAGGGAAAGGTCAGCACACAGATGTATATATTGGAGTAAAACTGACACAGGGGCTTTATCTTAGTGTCAACTGGCTGGCAAGACGTGTGCACAGGGGCAAGGTGCATTTTTGTGACTGGATGAAGAAAATGCATGCATGATTTTGTGCAAAGGACCAGAATCACAAGCGGCGGGGGCGGGGTGGGGGCGGGAATGTGGAGACACTTTGCAGACAAGGGAGTGAGAAACTGAGGGAAATGTGAGAGGAAGAGATTGGCCCATCCCAATGCAGATGTGACCTGAATTGTGTGAATGGTTGGTCCAAGGCAAATGAGTGAGGGCATGATAGAGGGGCACGAAAGGGTGGGGTGACGCAAGCAAATAGGGAGAAGTTTTGGTTCCCCTTTCCTAATGCTAGAACTCAGTTGGGTCCTTCCATAAGCTGATGGGAAATCCGGGTCAGATCAAAGGAAAAGCCCTCCCTCTCACAGAGCATAGAGAAAATGCAGAAGTCGGCCACCGATCTGGATGGCTTTACAAGATTGGCTACTAGTCCAGGTGGCTACATGCTAGATCTGAGGCAATGTGCCTGCACACCTCAGGTGCTGGGGAACATGGGGCAGGAGGTGGTTACAGCATTCCAGGGACTTTTCTTGGCTACTTTGTGACCGGGATGCTGGGCAAACGGGTCTCGGTCCATTCCGGAATGGTGCTTTCTAATGTCCCTGTTTTGCTGCTTGAGGCAAATGGCAAGACGGCAGAATTAAAACGGGGCCAGAGGCCAGGCGACTCCACCCAGCCCTGTGCGGGCAACACGGTGCCAGGCAGCTGTTCCAACAATCCCCAGATATTCATTCGCTCCCTGGCCAAGCTTTTGGCTGGCTCTTTCACCAGGCGCCTGGGCAACAGACTCAGCTTGCAGCCCGTGAGTTGAGAGCCCGTGCGGAGGAGTGGTTAAGCACAGGACCGAGACTCAGGCGATCCGGGTTCGAGTCCCCGCTCAGCCACGGAGCCTATTGGGTGACTTTGGGCCAGTCCAGACTCTCAGCCCAAGGATGAGGATAAGACTGAGAGCAGCAGCAGGAGAATGGTGTAAGCTGCTCTGAGTTCTTTGAAAAAGGGTAAAGCGGGGGTATCCATCTAATAAATAAGCCTTAAATAGCGAATTTGTCCGCGAAGGGAAATCTGCATTCAGACAGCCAGGCTTCTTGGGGAACGCTGAGGACTCATCCTGCTTTATCCGAGCTTCTTCCAGCCTCCCTCCTTATGGCTTGGCTCCGTTGCATGCACAGCTTCCCTAATTGGGAAAACTTTGCGCAGCAATGCAGGGAAACCGCTGTTATCTCCAACCTGTGACTGGAGATAACCACGAGGCCTCCTCCATGCGTCCTCTTCAAGCCCCACTTAATGCAGGACATAGAGAGGGCAGGACTTGCAGCGGGAACGGCCCGGGCCCTGTGGAAGCAAGATTCCGCCCGGCGCTGGCTCGAGCTTCCCCTGGGAGCATCTCCAAGCACCCCGCCACATCTCATTAGGCTGGAATTAGCAACACGATCCGAGGGCTGTCCGTCTCGGCGCAGAACAGTGTGAACCAACTCCACCGGCTTCTGTTTCAGGGGCTTTCTGGAAAACTTGACTTGTGTTCTGGCAAGTCCGACGGTGGGATTTAGGCTGTGAAGCGCCGCTCCAGAAAATGAAAGCCAGCTGCCTCTGGGGGTGCCAAGGGCAGGGAAAGAGGGGCTTGCTTCTTTTACGTGATGAGAGAGCTGATGGTTTGGCTGGCAGGCAGAATCCTGGACCCAGAAAAGTGGAAACGGCTGCAGAGGCCAAGCTTTAATGAGAAACAGGTCTGCATCCCGCCTCCCCGGCCATGCCCCCCAATTAGGCAAAGAGAGAAAACATCTAGTCAGAGAGTGAAGATTGCTACCCCTCCAGAAGAAGAGGAAAAGGCATTCTTCTGCAAGATCTGCTTGCTCGGCCTGCCAAACAGTTCACCTCCTCCAGCTAGTCAAGCCTGTGCCATCGATTCGTTAAAACGCCTTCAGCCCAGAGACGGTGCTTTGCGTGGCCTTCCCGATTTCTAGATTGGCGGCTTGGGTGCTGCTGCGAAACACACAAGCGGCAGCAAACGGCACAAGCAAAACCGGCCCTTCCCAGCTTGGACCGCCAGCAAAAGGCCGAATTGAAGGACGTGCACTGGCAACAAAGGAGTAGCTAATCTAGCGACAGGAAATTTTATTTATTTATTATTTATTTTTCGATTTATAGCCTGCCTTTTTCCTACAAAGGGCTCAAGGCAGCTTGCATTTTCCTCCTCCATCTTATCCCCACAACAACAACCCTGTGAGGTAGGCTGGGCTGAGAGCCTGTGACTGGCCCAGAGTCCCCCAGTTGGCTCCATGGCCGAGCGGGGACTCGAACCCGGATCGCCTGAGTCCCAGTCCCATGCTCTTAACCACTACGCCGCACTGGCTCTCGCACTGAAAATAGTTCCCTGGAGCGTCAGACCCCTTCCAAAAGAACCCAGCATGCTGTTTTGCTGATCCCATTTGCGAAATAACCGACTCGTTTTCCTCCCCTTGCCCCCTTCCCCTGACATCCCTCGCCGTCTCAGGCTGAGATTCCAGTACGGAGGTTCCCCGGAGGACGGGAGCTTTTGTTTATGGTGGCATCGGAGTGGTCATCTGAGCACATTTCTGGCTCCCCCGCTCCCCTCCCGCCTTGCATTCCTGGCATGGGTCACCTTAGCCAGCCATAACGACCGTGACTTAACGCAGGAGGACTCTGGGATACGTACAGCTGGCAAGCCAGCACCAATTATATCTGCTGACCAGGAGCGCTGGGGGCATTGCGTCCTGACTTTTTGTCCAAAACACAGAGCCCTGCAACCGCTGACTCCCCAGAGAAGCACGAGCGGAATGTTTCTCCAAGCGAGCAGCGTTTCATAACTGAACGTCCAGATCCCCTGCAAAAGTGGCTTCAGCTGGATGGAGCTGATCTTCAAACCGGGGCTTGGAACGGGTTTGCCATGCGAGGCTAAGGTCTTGTTCCTCCAGGCTGTGGCCTGTACCCCTGGCAGACTGCAGGTGAAGGTCCGTGACAAACACTCATCCCCACAGGTAGAAAGCTAGTCTGTCAAGGACACGATGGGGTGCATCTAGATAAAGGTGGAGCGCCTCTGCGTGAAGGGCTTGTGGGGCGGCAACCCACACACTGCTGGGAAAGGGGATACAGCCTTCCGAAAAGGAAGGGCAGGGGGAGCACGGGCTTCCAAGCTCCTGCCCAGGCCAGTTGGGCTTGTGGGCGTTGCTTGGCCCCTCCCCACCATCGGGCTGCGACTGGCTCTGTCTGCTGGGAGCCCTCCGCTCTAGCACTAGTGGCAGCTGAGAGGTTTCCACCCCAGCAGATGGCTCGCCTCTGGCAGTGCATGATTACATACCGGGAAGTTTACGACTTTCACTGCTTCTCGCCTCTGTTCTCTCGCACAGGTGAGAGAGGAATTGGGAAGCCCGTGTTCCAGCGGACTTCCTTCTCCTTCTGTTTGTGGCTCCTTGGCAGCCTGCAGCGCTGGTGCTGGCTGGAGTCCTTGTGTCGTTTTGTGAGCCCCTGTCCTCCGTGGCTGTCGGGCTCCCTTTGCAGTAGGGGTGCGGCTTCTGCAGCCCCGAAGATGGGGACTGGCCTCCAGCTCCCATCGTCCCCAGCCAGCGGTCAAGGAGGGCTGCGGGCTCTTCAGCCTTGAAGTGTCACCTTCCCTGTGAGAATAGTATAAAGGAAATAATCGGCATCTGAGAGCGGTGTTTATGTCCTTGAAATAGACACGCTTAGCAGAACATGCTGATCGTCGTTCCGATAGGTCTCTGGGAAGTTCACAACAACTCACAGAAATCAAACCACAAATAAAAGACAGCATTAATGTGCTAAGTAGGCAGCAAAAACACATTTTGAATGGGCTCGTTAAAACCAACAGACCTCACATCATACACCTTTCAATGCCCGAGAGCAGAGGCCAGTCTGAACCTGCTGCTAAAAGGCAGCCAGCATCCCCCTGTGGGAAGATCATCCTGCAGTTCGGGGGCCACCACGAGAAGGCCCCGCCACCTGCCTCCATGGCACTCAGAGAAAGGCCTTGGATATCAACCGTTTGCAATGCAGTTTTCCCACTCTCACCAGAAGGTCCTGTCCTTGGAGGTTTGAGTTTCAAATCTTCTCTCTCCTCCACGGGCTCCATTTAGTTGCCAATCTCTCTCTTGTTGGCCTTTGACCGATTGGATGCAGTAGCTAATCCTGGCCAGCCAACAAGCAGGTATCCTCAGCTGCTAGTTCCCATTGAGGAAACACCTTTAGCTATTAAACTGGACCGAGAGAGAGAGAGAGGCAGGGAGAGGAAGCAAGCCTGGTGGTCTTCTCATCTCCTCTTTTGACAACAAGAATTCTCTTTTTTATGGTATTATTGAGAAAGACTGGAAGCACTGAAATATATTTCCTCTTGGCTGCTGACCGTCTGCTTCATTGTCCTTAAGAACATAAGAAAAAAATGTTTAATTTAAGGTTTGTTCCACCCTCTTATTTCATGGCCTTATATGAGCCATGAAATAAACTGTGACTTCAGAGGAAACTTGGCATTAGACGTGCCCTGGCATCTTGCACTTTTTTCATCTATTCTTATTGAAGTTGACAGAAAGAAAATGCTTTTAAAACGACATCCAAAAGAGGAGAAACTTTCTCCCGTTTGTCTTTCAACTTATTTTTTAAAGAATACTCCTGAGCCGAAATTCAAAGGGGAAATCATTTCCTCGCGCATTGTTTTCATTCGATTGGATAGAAAAGAAATTGCTTTTGAACATCAGTTCAAAGCGGGAGGACATTTTGGAGAAGTTGTGATTGCGTTTGGGTTTCTTGTGCTTGCTTACACGATGGCTGAGGAGTATATTATCGCTTGTGCAATCATATCTCTGGTAGCCTGCAGTCCTTTTAGCATCTCACTGTTCAATTAAAGCCTGGGGGGTGGGGGAGACACGATAATCCAATTAAAGCCTGGGAAAAAACATTCCTTCCAGAGGACTTCCTCCGATCAGAAGTGCAGGTAGGCCAGGAGGCTGCAGAGCAATGGAGAGATGCTTAATAGAAATGGGGAAAACACACACACCTCCTCAGTGATCAGGTAAGCTCAAAAACACGGCAAGAAGGAGCGAAATGTTCTGAAAATGAAGCCACACAATGGAAGCAGAAGAAAACTCAGGATGCCAGGGGACAGGTTTTGGCATGGCGCTTTTCCTGGATGTGGACCCAGTGCAGGCCTCTCCACACACAAACACACCTTTCAGGCAGGTGATGGAAAATGGGAACTGCTGCCTTGGCGATGCAAGAGCAAAGAAATGAAAGGCTTAGAGGAGAAAGAGGGAAAGAGGCATCTGCTACAATGTCAGATGATAGCATGTCCTGTCTGGGAGAAACTTTGAGGGAAATCCTAGAGAAATGCACTGATCTTGTCCCCTGCCCCCAGCACAGACCGACTCTCTGTCCACAAGCAGGCAGCAAAATAGGCCAACCACTTTCTAGGCAGCCGAGAAAGCACAGCATAAAGGATGCAATGGGTGAGCAGCCCCACCGAAAGGGGACTCACCAGCTTCCCTGGGTCTCACTTCTGCTGGACCCTGATTTAGCCCTCCGGAAAGCACCAAAACCAAAGTGGGCTTGCCCATTCCCTAGAGCCAGGTGTGGGATTTGGAAGCCAAAAACCCCAAAAGCCAGCCTGAGATTCGGACCGATCTAGGAGACTTTGGGCAGCATAAGGAGCCATCTTCACTTGGAAGCCTGTCCCACTGGACTTAGGGTGGCTGGGGTTGGAATTGGTGCTTTTAGGCTCACGGGCTGCCCTGAACTTCAGCTCGAGCGCGGGGCATTAAGGCCATGTGGTGCCTCCGTCTGGACGCGGGAGGAGCAGGTGGGCCTCTCCTCTCATCTTGTTGCCCTTTCTGGCGTGTCTTCCAGATCCTCTGCCCGCCGTCCCCGATTTGGAAGGGGACCTCCTCTTCCTGCTGGACAGCTCCGGCAGCGTCTCCTACTACGAGTTCTCCAGGGTGAAAGAGTTCATCGCTGATCTCCTCCGGCCGTTCACTTTCGGTCCGCAGGATGTCCAGGCCGGTGTTGTCCACATCAGCACGATGCCCATGCTGGAGTTCCCCTTCGACCGCCATCACTCCAGCGGGGCGATCCAGCAGGCCGTCCGAAGCATCCAGCAGGTGATGGGCGACACCAACACGGGAAAAGCCCTCTCCTTCGCCAAGGAGAAGCTCCTCACGGCCGAGGCCGGGGCGCGGGCGGACGTGCCCAAAGTGCTGGTTTGGGTGACGGACGGGTTCACCACCGACGAGGTCTCCAAGCCCATGCAAGCCCTGAAGGACATGGGGGTGACCGTTTTCATCGTCAGCACCGGCCGCGGGAACTACCTGGAGCTTTCGGCAGCTGCCAGCCAACCCCCGGAGAAGCATCTCCACTTCGTGGACGTGGACGACCTGACGATCATCACCAAGGAGCTGAGGGACGCCATTGCAGGTAATCGGGCAAAGAACGGTGGCGTGGGATCCAAGTTGGCCAGGAGTGACTAGTGGTTCCACGGTGCTGAACTCTGGGGTGGAGAGAGCTTTGGCTGTTGTTATTTATAGAAATAAATTAAAAGAATACCTGTCGGATGCTGGAGCCACCAGCAGCCCCTGAAACCAAGTCCTTCAGGCCTAGTGCCCTGTTTCCGAGCAGTGGGCAGCCAAACATATTTGCAAACAAGGCCATTCTTGTTTGCTTGCTTGCTCCTGTTCAGCCACAGACGATTCTAAACATCTAAGGTAGCGGGGGACCAACCCTCACTCATCCTTTTAGCACAGAGTTCCACAGTTTAGCTTTGCTTCGTGTAATAAACTCGTCTTGAAGCCGCTGCTGATCAGCTCGGTTGAATGAACGAACTTTGGTTTAATTATCCCAAGAAGCAAACCTTCGAAGCTGGGGCCCGCAGTGCCAGTTTGGACAGTGTATTGCAGAACTAAATCGGAAATACTGACAATCATTTCAGTAGATAGACAGCACACCTCCCCACAGTGTGGAAGGCTGGGAGATGGCCTGTGTGCCTACCTGTTCAGTCTGTTGCGCTAACTGCAAAGAGCCATTCTTTGGGGTCTTTATCTTCCAACTGGATCCGGACTGGATTTTCCAGTAGAGGATGCTTCATGGCACATTTCAAATGGAGGCGCTCCCAGTGCAAAGGAAGCATGGCTGCCCTGATGTTGGTTGGTTGTCCTTTTTTCTAAACCAAACGCCCCCAAACACTTCTCATTTTGGGATGGTGTGCGAGTTCTTGGACTATTTTAGATGTCCTTGGAATATTTTAGATAAGATGACGTGTGTCTGTGAAGAAAAGCCTGGCCTTGATTCTGCTATGTACTAATATCTGGCTTGTGACTTACTATACTGTCATGGCTTCCCCTGCCCCAAGGAATCCTGGGAATCCTCTGGTGAGAGGTACAGGATCTTCAGCCTGACTCCCAGACCAATAATTCCCAGAGTTCCAGAGGAAGAGGGAAGGAAGGTTAAACCTGGTACCGTCAGTGCTGGATCGGAGGTCTGTGGGCTGTTGAATGGGGGCTGTTTTTGGCTCCGTCAAGCGTGGATCTCTGGATGAGCTTCCTCCTTTGCTTTGGAGAAGGAAATCCCAGCCGCAGAAGCTCTGTTTTCCCCCCAAAAGCAAGAAGCCCTTTGGCCCAACCCTTTTCTTTCAGACCTATTCACTTGCCAGGGTTTCCCCCAAGGAATCCTGGGAATTCTAGTCTAGTTCAGATACAGGCCCTCAGCCCTGGCTCAGAGGACAATAAATCCCTGAGTTTAAGAAGGAGAGGGAAGGAAGGTTAAACGTGTTGTAAGGACTGACTGCAGACTTTGGGAGCTGTTGAAAGAGGCACAGTTTGGCTACTTCACACCTGAACATCTGACTGAGCGGCCCCCGTGTAGCCTGGAGTGTTAATACGTCTGTCCGTGGTTCAGCTCCAGAGAAAGAAATCTCAATTGTCCAAGCGCTGACAAGGAATACTTTGGCTCACAAGCTTCCCCGGTATCCGTATTGCTCTCCCCGCTCTGGGCACTCCCTTGCAGCTGCGGCGTTCTGTCTGCTAAGAGTTCGAAAATTAATGAGGGTTACTATGGAGCTGTGAAAGCTTTTCCTCCCACTTCTTGGCAACTTTGCTCTCCTTCTGAACTTCAGGGATGACTTCTTCCACTTAAAGCTCCCCTCTGCGTTGTGCATGGCTAATGAGCTGCTGCAGGTGCTTCTTGGAACCTGCTTTTGCTCTGCCGCAATTTCTTTCTGCGCGGAGAGAGAACGAAGGGTCACTCGTAATCCTCGGGGGCTCGAAAAGGAGGTGCTCGGTTCCTGCTAAAGCTCCATCACGGAGGTGTGGAACTTCAGGCTCACCGGGAGTGCCAATCCCGCCCTCTAAGGTTTCCCAGAATTCTGTGTCCCCTGTCCGGGTGGGAGGTTAGGGGAATCTTTCCAGAGGAGACTCTGCAGCCCCGAATTTTCCATGATGATCCAGAGAGGGCCTAGCAGCCCTGGAACCATGCCCTAGGCCATTGGAATTGATGCAAAGGTGCCTGTGTTTGCACTGAAGTACCGTCTTCAATCACTAGGTGGCAGGGCAGCTCTCACCCCTGCATAGCTTTCCAGTTTGAAACCAGTTTGGATCCAGGGAGGAACAGTCCAGGGACAGAATTATGCATATCCACTCTGCTGAGGGGGAATTTCCCCACAGGGGAACGGGAAGGACAGAGCACTCTCTCAGAGGACAAATGGACACACCACGACAGGGCCTGGCCCAGGGTCGTCAGCCGACGCGGCATCCCAGAGATGGGATGGACGGTGACAGCTGTGCAGGACTTCTGGAAGGCTCTGCTGCATCAGCTTGGAGGCTGCTCCAACCCCGGGGCTGTTTGCTAGCGGGCACAGCAAGCAATTGCTCTCCATGAAATGTGGCTCGCAGAACCACCCGGAACCAGCAGCCTGGAAGTCCGCCCAGAAATTGCACTATGATATCATGTGAGGGCTCGTGAATGGCCCCCTTTGTGGACGCACAGGCGAGCATTGTGCTCGGAAAATTAGCTCGTCTTTCCCTCAGATTCCGACTCATCTGCCAGGCGGGCGTTGGCAATCCCCGGACGAGAGAGGCCGATGACGGGAGCTCGCGTTTGCCTCCTCGAGGGGAAACTTCCTGGATGCTTTGGGGAGGGGGCATTGTCAGCTTGGGGAAACCTTTGCATCCTGGAAGGGGACCTGGAATTTTCTGTTCCCTGTGGAACATCCCTGGTTGTGAAGAAGGAAGCAGTAAAGAGGTGGCAGAGAAAGTTTTCCAACTCAAAACCAAAGAGTGGATGGTGTGCATTTTAAATCTCCCAGTGGGGATAAAGCAGCGATGGTTTTTCCCATTCTTGGCCCAGCTCAACGGGCAGAGGAGACAGGCAGGCATCGGTGAGGTAGAGGTGCTGCGGCTCACAGAGATGCCCCACTAGGGCCTCTTTTATCACCAGGGATGCTGGCGTCATCTTCCGCCCCCTCGGGCTTCCCTGTTCCTCTGAGCTGAGCTGCAAACCTATCCCAGTCCCTCTGAGCTGACCCCAATAAAATGGGTATTATGCCCAGTCTCCCAGCTCTTTGAATTTGCATATTAATAGACGCCAATACATACACATCAACAAAGACACCTGGGCTTTTGGACCTTCCTTGAGGGGCGTGGCTATGGAAGTCGTCGTGTTTTGCACCTGCATTTCCAAACTTGCCGGTAGGTCACTGGGGGGCAAGTCCAGGATCTGCACGTGCGTTCGGGGTTGGAGCCCGGCAAGGCCGAAAATTGAAATAAGCCGCTCAGATGCCTGTACCAGTTCTTCCCCCGCACCTTTGTGGTGTTTCTCAGCCTCTGACTGGCTGCCCCCAAAGGATGGGACCGGATGCCCTGAGATTAGCTCCCCTGCGGCAGCAGACGGGAAAGACACAAAAGCTGGCCTTGCGTTCCGGCTTTGTTGTCCCAGGAGACAGACAGGAAGCTCGGGTGAGTTGCAGGAGCCGAACACCTGGCCAGGAGTTCTGCATTGTCTCCCACGGTGCAGCTGCAAGGTGAGCTGATTTCTGAGGAAGTCGTTGGCTTGGCTTGTAAAGATCAGGTTGGAGACTGTTCCTGGAGAGGAGAGGAAGCCGTTCAAACTCCCGCCAGCTCTGACGTCTGAATGGTGGGGTGTGAGTCACACAGCAAAGCTGACGGCACTCCGGGGGAATGGGGCGCGGCGGGGACACGCGAGCCGAGGCCGGGGCCATGCCGCCGATCGGGGTCCTGGCCTCCTGGCCTCCGGCACCTGGCGCCCTCTCCCTGCTCGGAGCTTCTCCCTCCTCGGGCGACTGGCATCGCTTCCCTTGGCGGTGCCCATTTAGGATCACAAAGAGGGGTGAACGCCCCATCTCTCCCCTTCCTGCCTCTCTCTGCCCCACCCTCTGATGCTTCAAAGCTGCCCCTTTTCCTAACTCTCCACTCCCGTGTACACCTCCCCCTCTGCAGAGTTTTATCTCTCTTTCCGGGCTCTTTGTTCTCTGCCTTTAAATATTTCACCGGGTTTCATGTTCTTACGAAATGCTGAAAAACTCATCTTTTCCCTCAGGCATTTCCTTCTGTTTGACATTCTGAAGTTCTCTCCTGCATCTCGGCTCTTTCACATACACGTTCATCATTTTCCCCCTGTTGACTTTTTTCCCTCCTGTTTTCAAAATACCGGAATCCAAAGGGGTCCCCCATGAAGCTGAGGGGTGGGAGATGCAGGGCAGGCGAAAGGGAGGCTGCCTTAGTCCAGTGCACAGATAAACCAGGGAGTTACGTGAAATGTAGAAATGCAAATTTGGACAGCCTTCAAAGGGGGTTGGAGGAAAAGGTTATCCATGGTCCTAGTCCTCATGGTCCAAGACTACCTTCAGTACCTGTGCGCACCTGTCGCCAGCTCCTGTCTGGCTTTCCCTTGGACAGCTGGCTAGCCACTGTGTGAACCAAATGCTGGACTGGATGGACCCCTGGTTTCTTCTGAGTTTCTCTCAACCTTTCTCACAACTCCCCCTTCTTTCTGCCCCATGATTTTGGGGGGAAAATCCTCTGAAGCCAAGGATTAGGATGTTCCATAATTCGTTTTTTGCAGAGCACCTCTTTTATATACATCTGCAAAACTATGCATATGAATATCACACTGCATAATGAACTTTCCGTGGATCAGGCCTGTTCCAGCTAAATGCAGTTTTGGCTACACTCTTGTGAGGGCTTACTCGGGAGTAAACACCACTGAACTCAGCAGGAGCAATTCCAAGCAAAGACGCAGGAAGCTGGGCTCTTTAGCTAATGCTTAAACATAAGAGCCGACACTTATGTCCCCTTGCCTCAAATTTTCAACAGTATCTTTCATGTAAGAATGTTGTGTCCCTTACAACAACCCTGCGAGGTAGAGCAGTAGGATTTCCCCCATCTTAGAGGTGAGTGGAACGGAGATAAGAGAATGGAAGCTTATCTAATGCTGCCAAATAAGTTATGCCATATTTGCCATTTGTGGGTTTCCTAGAGATACCTGCTTAGTCCCAGAATACAGGATGCAGAAATGACCTTCCCTCAGTCTGTTGCATTCCAGATGTGTTTGACTACAGTGCCCATCAGATGCATTGCTGGGCATTGCGGTCACTTCGGGTTTAATGCAGCAGGGCTGTTCTGCTCCCATGTGGAACTGAGGCCATGGGGGAGGTTCAAACCAGGCATTTCCACATCTGCAGTTCTCTCTCTCTCTCCCTCCTCCTCCTCCTCCTCCTCCTCCCCCCCTGCAGGATTTTATGGGCAGTTCTGTTGCCCATCATGCTTTCCAGGTTGGAAAACAGCCCCTCGCTGGCCAGCTGCAGCCCCATTGCCTGTGCAACGAGAAATTGCCGGCTTTGGCAGGCCCTGGGCTGGGTTGGGCCAGGGCCTGCTTGTACAGTAGCAAATGGAAAAACGCAGCCTCGTCCAGGCCAAACACAGGAAATTTGCGCCCATAGCATGCCTGGTGTGCAGCGATCAGGGAAGAATGTTCCAAGAGCCCTCCGGCCCCGTGGCAACTCCCACGCCCTCCCCAAATCTCCTCTGCTCTTTCCCCAGCAGCCGGCAGCACACCTGGTTAAAAACAGGACTCACCTGCCAGGAGAAAGGTGCGGAGGGACTTCAAAGAAGAGAGGCGGTCCCAGGCCCGTTTTGGAGGGTTCTGCTCTTCCGCAGAATCGACACCGTACACACGGAGAGCCACAGAGGTGCGGTGGTTAGGAGCGCAGGGCTGGGACTCCGGCAAACCGGGTTCTAGTCCCCGCCCAGCCATGCAGCTCATGGGGTGATTCTGATCCAGTCCCGGGGCTCAAAGCGACGGAAGGAGATTCAGTAAGGACAAGTGCCAAGTCCTCCACCTGGGAAAAACAAACCAAAGGCATTAATACCAGATGGGGAATACGTGGTTCAACACAACGGAAAAAGATCTTGGAGTAATTGTGCACAACAGGCTAAACAGGAGCCAACAAGGCGATGCAGCTGCCAAAAGGGCAAATGCTATTTTGGGAGGCATGAACAGAAGTATTACTTCCAAATCACAAGAACTAGTAGTTCCTCTATACTCCTCTCTCTAATCAGACCTCACCTGGAATACTGTGTCCGGTTCTGGGCACCAAGATTTAAGAAAGATGCAGGTAAATTAGGAAGGGTCCAGCGGAGGGCAACAAAAACGATCCAGGGTTTGGAAACGCTGCCCTGTGAGGAGAGACTGGGGGAACTGGGCATGTTCAGCTTTGAGAAGAGAAGACTGAGGGGGACATGATGTCCCTCTATAAGTCCCTCAAAGGCTGTCACAAAGAGATCTTTTCTTGCTGATGCCAGAGGGTAGGACAAGGAATCTTCAGTGATTTCTTTTCTTCTTCAACCAGCATTTTTAAAAACCAGCAATAATACATCTACAAAACTTCTGGACACTCAGGAGTAGTTTGTGGGCCTAGCTGATGGGACAGAGTGGCTCCTTCAAGTCCCTGAATGTGAACCCCCAAACCTGAGTTTTAAAGCCAAAAGCTCCAGTCTGGAAAACAACCAGAGTGCTGATGTCCCAGGGAACTTCATTTCCTGACAGCTAGAACCCCCAGGGTGTGGAATGGGCTTCCACAGGAGGTGGTTGAGGCCCCATGGGTGCGGGTGTTCAAGGACAGGCTGGACGTCCACATGGTGGGCATGTCGTGAGTGGAGCCGGCTGGTGCAGGGGGTCAGACTAGATGGCCCGGGAGACCCCTTCTGACGCGGGCTGTGTCTATGTTTCTGTTTGTTTAAGCTCATGCATTCTTCTAGCATGTCTCTGCTGCCATCTGCTGGGCCTCTAGATACCTATGTCTCCTTCCTAAACCATGCCTCCAAATTTTGGATAGTTGCTCTCATCTGCTCGCCTTCCATCTGATACGAAAACACGCTGGCACATTTGGAGTTTTGGTTCAGCCAAGTTTGTCCTCGGCTGCACCAAATTCTGCCTTCAGCTCCAGCCACCCCAGGGATGCAGCTTTAAAGAAATAGGTCCCCGAATCAAAGCTTCACGAGAAGTAAATCTCAGGAGGAGCAGAGGAGAGGTCGATAAATGGGTCACGGCCTTTTTCTTCCCTCCAGATGTCATCCAGGCCAAGCGTCTGCGGGCCACGGACGTCTCTTCGAGCAGCTTCCGGCTTGTGTGGCCACAGCTTCTGACTCGCAACACTGGATATTACATTCTGGAATACGCCCCGACCGGGGAGCCCCGGCGGAAGCAGACCAGGCAGCTGAGCGGCGACCACACCAGCGTCCTCGTGGGCAAGCTGGCGCCACACACCACTTATGAGGTCGCCCTCGTTCCAGAGTCCAACGAGCGATACATCCCGCCCCAAACCACACGGGTCACGACGCTGGAAGGTGCGAGCCACACGGACAGAGATTTCTCTCTGAACGGCTTGCTTGTTTTTTCGGAGGGGAGGTGCAGGGTGGTCGTTGCAACAGGAAGTGAAGGGACGGCATGCACAAGGAAAGGCCTCCTTTGAAAAGGTGTAGCAAGTCAAAATATGAAAAGAATAGATCCAACATAGGTTGAACATTTAAAAAGTGGCTGGCGAGTTAGAAAGGGCCACCTTTTCACTCCAGCAAGGGACCCAGCATGGCTTACATGGTCTTCTTGCTCAGCATTGTATCCTCCCAACAACAACCCTGGGAGGTAGGTGAGGCTGAGAGTTTGTGGCTGGCCTCAGTCCACCAGTGAGCTGAGTGGGGACTAGAACCCAGGTTTGCTCAGTCCAGCCCTCTAACCACTACTGTCTCTCAGGAAGTCTATAAATACCTGAACGTTATTTCTACGATTTTCTGTAATTCCAACATTCCAAGAAGTAAGTAAATAAAACCCCACAGCCACCAGAATAAGAGGAGTCAGCCCAGATGAGAGCAGCTGCAGGCCTTCCATTGTCTCTTCTCCCCGCAGAGACCATCAGCCCGGCACAGGTGCTCATCTCGGAATCCAGGCCCCACAGCATCCGGGTGAGCTGGTCTCCCACGCCGGACAGCGTGTCTGCCTACCAGGTCCTCTACGGCCCTTTGCCCGGGAACTCGGTCAAGCTGGTGGAGGTGAAGGGGAACCTCAACAGCACCACCTTGGGGCACCTGCGGGCCAACACAACCTACCTGGTGACCGTCTCCGCCATTTACAAGTCAGGCAAGGAGAAAGCGCTCTCAGCCAAGGCGTGCACCCTGGAAGGTGAGCGGCAGGTGTCAGACTGGGAGGATGCACGGGAAGGCACCAGCCGGATGGTTGCCAGGGTTAAAATTAAGACCCTCTAATCATTGTATAAAACTGGCTCTGTGTGTTGCTGTTTCCTCCTCCGTCCCAACATCATTTCCTTTTGTGTCGTGTCTTTTCTCTTATATGCCTGAGGGCAAGGACTGTCTTATGTTCAGTCTTTACAGGGTCTTTCCTCAACGGAGGAGTGGGGTAAAATGTTTTTAATACATAGAGTAAGGGTGTGTGCCTATGGCCTCCTAAATCACCTGGGAGGGCCATGGGAAATTTTGGGCTCCCTGGGCCTCCCTCACAGCCAGCATGGAATGAACACCCTGGAGAAGTGAGAAGAGGCAAAGAAACAGCGTGGGTTTACCATGCCCTTGTCCCTCTGTGGGGCTGGACGGATTTGCTCAAAGGAAAAGGGCATCTCCCAGCAGCAGCGGTACCAATCAAGACCGTGGAGGCTTACACTGGGCATCCTGCCCAAGAGCCTCCCCAAACCTGAAGCCGGCATTATTAAAGCGTGCTCCTCCAAACTGTTTAAAAGTCGGCACACCCTGGATAGGTTGGTGCTGACTCGGTGTGGCTAACAAGAAGGGGTGGAATTTCAAGAGCCAACCCAACTGGGTTTTCAGTGGTTCTGGTCCAATTTTTTTCTGGTTGTATTTTGCATCGCTTCGCTTATTCTCCTATGTTTTAATTCAGCACCTGTCTTTCATTACCCATCTGGCGGGGAGGGAAGGCAGGATATAAATTGAACTGATATATCCCTAACACACTAAGTCCATAAAGTCATTCTCCTCCCATCTGCTGTCCTCCAGAGATTCCGGGTTGCAGCTCCCATCACCTTGAGGCCTAGGAGGGTGGTGCATCTGAGCCCAAAACTCTTGGCTTAGCAGTAAGGCCTCCTCTGCTCTGGGAGACCTGGTTGCCCTTCTCATTTCCACTCAGATGTGTTTTTAATCTGTCGGGCAGAGAACTCCAAGATAAAGCACCTCCGCTTTGAGGACCTGAGCCCCAGCACAGTGAAGGCCTCCTGGGATGCCGCCGGCGGCGACGTCCTCGGCTACCGCATCCGGTGCCAGCGGCAGGCCGGCCCGTCGACGCTGCTCAGCGTCTCGCCGCAGGTCCACAGCGTGCTGCTCTCCGACCTGGCGGCGGGGACCACCAACAAAGTGTGTGTGAAGCCCGTCTACAGGAACCTTTCCGGGAAGGGGCTGTGCCAGCTCGTGCGCATGCAGCCCGGTAAGTGGCGCTGCACCGGCGGCTGGGGGCCGTGGGTGGGATCGGGGCCCTGGCGCCGCTCGGGGTGGCCGGCGCCACGCTCAGCCTGGCTGGGCACAGGTGTTGCTCTCCCCCGCCACGACTGCCTTGCTCGCCCGGCTCTCGCTCGGTGGTGGTGCTGCTGTGGCGGCGTGGGAGACGCCCACGGTGGCCACCAGCGCGCTCGGCTCCACAGCAGCTGTGCGCACGTTCCTCTTCGGGAGTCGCCCCCGTGGACGGCCGCAAGCTTAGCCCACGTCAGGTCAATTTTCCTCGGCACTGAACAACTCCCAGGAGAGAACAAACAGCTGCTAGTCCTGCTGGCTTGGCGGAGCTCCCCGTTTCAGAGGCAGTTGCACCCATCAGAACCAGCTCCCAGCGAAGGGGAAGCAGTGTGCTGTGCCGGCGAGAGGCGTGGACTGTGACGGGGGAGAACCAGGTTGCAGGCCCCCTCAGCCATGAAGCACCCAGGGTGTCTTTGCTCCCATCACTGGCCGAACCCTACCTTACAGGGTTCTTGTGAGGATGGGAAGGAAAGGGAAAGAATTGGGGAAGCATCCTTCAGTGGCTTGTAGGAAAAAGGCCAGGTAGCCACATATTCAAGCAAGCCAAAAAATAAGAAGCAGCAGCCAATCTTGCCTTCTAGTGGAGCATTAGCAAACCAGGATAAGTTCTGCTCAGATTCAGCAGGGTTGATGTCTTACCGATCTCGTGAATTTCACTTTGGTGTCGTCTGGGATGCAGATATTTTCCCCTGCCCTCTCAAGTCTTCACTGTGGGCAAGTCTTTGCCTCCCCAGAGATCTTTCCATTGTTTGGTGCTGAAGCTTTCCAGAATAGGCAACAGAGCAAGTTAGCCTATTGCAGAACTATATTACTTGGTCACCGAGCGCCACCTAGTGGCCAAATCACAATGTGTGGTGCGCTTTGGTTGATGGCGATCAACAAAGGACTGCGTTCGGACAACGTGATAACCTGTCCTCGAGGGTGGGAGCCGGTTGCCACTGCGCCGTGGGTTGCTGTTGCAACAGGGGCGATTGTGTTGTGTGGACCCAGCCGTGTGAACAAGCCCTGGCTTGCCAGCCACAAAACAACCCAGGAAGAGAAGCCATGGTTTGTTGTCAGGTCGTGCACCATGGGTTGATCACCTTGGTTTGTTATCTCGGCTAGGTTCAGATGACACAATAAACCCATGTTTCAGCAACAGCTTGTGCTTCCACGACAACGCACATTGAGCCAAGAAACCCAGCTGAGATCGCTCCACAAACACGTAGGATTGCTAACAGACCCTGTTTCCCACATGCAAACCGGGTTTCTCACGACCTATCAGTAACTTCAACTCACCACGGCTTCAACAAGCCACCCTGGGCTACAAACCACATCGCTCTTAACCATCCTGACTGCACGCAAAACTCCAAGAGCCGCTCTGCGCTCTGTGTAGCAGCTTGTGGTCACCACAGCTACTCCCCTGAGACATGGTTACCTTTCCAGGAAGCAACCTCGCCTACAAACATTCACACCAGCCTGAACCTGCACACCGGCCCATGTCAGTGATTTGGCACCCGACGCCATTTGAGATGGGACGAGGGAGGAAAACAACTCCTTTGTCTGTTTGCAAAAGCTTTGCAGCCCGATCCCCCGTGGCTCGTTTTTCACTCACCGCAGGCGATTCGACACACTGCCCTTTCACAAGATCATCCCAAGCGGCGCCTGACGTCCTCTTCCTGTTTCTTTTCAGCTTCGGCAACAAGAACCTACAGCCACCGACCGAGAGAGCGAGCGTCGCAACACTAGAGACACCTCTGCGGAGCAGAGGGAGGAGGTCGAAATGTGGCGGGGCACCCGTATGAGGGAAACCACACTCCCAAACCTGCTCCAGCCCCTCGGCTCCCTTCATGCCCCCACGTTCCCAAGATTCGGCCTGGCACGTCCTGCCAGACGATACTGTGACGAGCCGTTGGCGACCTATCCTTCCTTGTTTTCCAGCAAATGATGAAAGACTGGAAGCCCAACTTTCTTGCCCCTTACTGTACTTCTATTTATTTGTGTTCAGTATTTGTTGTAGGTGGGAAAGGAGCTTAGGGGTCCCTCGTATCCACGCCCCACAACTGCTTTTAGCCTTGATTTCACTATCCTGGCCACCAGAAGCATTTTGGCTGCGTAACCTTAACCGACGCCACAGCGATTTGGTAGAAGGCCGGTGGGTGTGAGGCACGGGGCGTATAATTATGAGCTGAGACTACTGTCAGAGATAAGGTTTCAGGCATGCTCTTTTTGGACACTGGGTTATCATGCTGTGTGAACCCACTACGCTAGCAAGCCATGGCTTGTTGACCACACACACAACCCGTGCATGCTTGTTGGGTTGTGAGCTGCAGGGTTTCCCCCCTGGTTTGTTATCTCAGCTGGGTTCAGAGGACACGAGAAACCACACACACGAGTAACATCCCGGTTTCCCTGGCAGCCTCACACTGAACTCCCGCCCACCACATTAAAAGATGGGATTGTCCAAAGAAATGGATGGGGAATGGACGAAAGGCAGGCTGGAGGAAACAGTTTTCCATCCAGGGCGTTATTAACTTCCGGAACTCACCTCCGCGAGAAGTGGGAACAAACTGGTGATGGATTTGTTGAAGGGAAGGTCTCTTCGTGAAACTTCCAGGTTTTGAGGCAGTAGAGCTGTGATGCTGGTCACCGGCATCCACTGAGGGAACGGGGAAGGCCTGCTTAGCATCTTACCTTGTCGTGCTGGCCACAGTTCATCCAGCGGTTTGCAAAGAGCAGCCCTAACTGAGCAAGCTGGCACTCTTCACCTGCACAACAGATGCCAGCCACGGAGTTGTGTTGCTTAACCCGAAAGCACTTGTCTCTCTGCGGCGACCGCAGTGCGCGGCCAAGCACTTTCCGCGAAGGAGCGTTTTCCCCTTGATTAAATATATGTATGTAATAATGAACCATTTTGGGAAGCCTTGTTGGTTGTGTTTGCTCTTGTGCAGCTTTTTGCAGTAGCGTTGGATCAGAGGACAGGCAAAGCGGCCAGTTCTGCATTCAAAACTCTTTCTTTCCCGAGTATCAAGAGGTTTGCGAATTTCCGAAATTCGTATTTAAAAAAACAGGATCCTTACCCATGTGCTGAATTCAATGGGCACTACTTTTCCCAGCATGGATAGAACCATGTTTTAGCTGCCTGCCATGTAACTGTTCAAAAGGAGGGGATGGCAAAGCAAATCCATTGCTCTAACCACTACACCACACTCTAAGTCTCCTAGTCTTGCTTTCATAGCCAGTAAGACCACCACTTCCTGGGCTCTTCTACTTCCGATGGCAGGCTGTGTGTTTACAGGGGGAGCCAGTTTCATATGAGCAAATAGGACAACTTCTCCCGCTGGTCCCTTTCTCTCAGCGGCAACTCACCATGGTGTCCAGTCCGAGGTTTTTCGCATCATCTGCTAAACTGATTCTTTGTATAACTGGACATGAACTGGGCAAGGTCTCAGAAGGAGCAGAATCCTAGATATTTGGGGCTGTGCCCCCAAACTGCAGGCAGCCGCTGTATGTTGTTGCTGGAAATGGATCAAGCTCCCTGGACCAGGGTCAAGATCTTTTCAGTGCCCAACAATGCCATGGGGCAATTAAGAGAATACTCTGCCTATGCCTACTCCAGAAACAAATTGCATTGCGTCCGGTGGGACTTGCTCCCAGGCAGGACAGCGTGGTTAATGCGATAGCATTCATTGTTTACAAAAGAAGCACCGCGGGGCCTTTGCAGAATGAAGCAATCAATTTGCCTTTACAGCAGCTCCCTAATTGGCTTTAAAAAAAATCTTCCCAAGAGGCCCAGAAGATACTGAGTGTTTTAATCAAATTGTATTGCAAAGGACGACTGCTGAAAGAGAGGCTGTTTGCTGAGGTCTGGAGGCCTGCAGAGTACTTAACAGCTTTCACATTGTCTTTGATCTCACAGAAGGCACCAACCTGGGCTGTACCTCTTCAGTCTGTAGGGACAGGCTCACATGACGGAGTGCTTCTCCTTGCAGATATACAGAATGTCATCCTTGCCCATGGAAAACAAGCATCTCAGGAAATCTAGGCCAGAGCACTCGACCCTTTTAGGCTAGCTTTCTAGATGCAGGGGCTTTTTTGGAACTCGGTGATAAAGCACCTGTTTTGAAGGCAGCTTTGTACATAAGCCCACAAAATCTATGTCTGCCATTGTTTTTACGAGCCTGCTGAAGGGCCCCCCTCCTTTACAGCCAGTGGGAATACACAGACTGCTAGAACTCTTTGCAGGCTAGTTTTTTTAAAAAATGTACCAAGCAGGCTAGCAGAAGAAAGACGTGGCTTCCAGACAGTTGTCCTTGCTTCTGTGACCCACTTGGGAATTAAATAGACTGGTGGATGCAGTACAGCAAAACCAAGCTTTCTCCACCAACGTGTTGCTCACCTGGATGGGATTCCTGCTCACCTGTGCAGGCAACTTAAATTCAAAGCTGGACATAAGTCAAACTTCCTAAATAATGAACACCCTACATCCTTCAGTCCTTCTTCCTTCTAAAGTGACCATTTAAGCAGTACACCCTTACTCAATTTTCTTAGAAGTCCTACTAAGTGAAAAACGCAGGTAGCTTCAGGAATTTTTCCTAGTTTCCAGAACCAAATTATGCCTTCAGAAGAATGTTGTGGCCAATTCAGATCACTTCTCAGAACTCTGCTGAAAGAATGAATGTGCATTCATCTGGTTGAAGTCACCGCAAGTAGAAATCTAGTGCATTGGGGAGAGCTCTTCTCCCTGAAATCCTAAGAGTTAACCGATTCCCCCACCCACCCATTCCTGCAAGAGAGAAAGAATTAGGCCAGAGAACAGAATAAGGAAACAATTTATAAAAATTTAAGAATAGAAACCTTCAGTGTGTACTCAGCCTATTTTTGTCTTCTGAACCAAGAATATTTTCCTGAACTGAGTCCAACATGAAACACCCGCTGCTTAGCTTAGCATCCATAGGCCCTGGATTTTTTTCAGATTCCCAGTTCCAACATGAGTCTGCGCTCCGGCTCCATTCCCAATCCTTGCTTGGTCCATCACAGCCTGTACAGAATCATACCAGCTGCTCCCAGAGGGCAGGAAAGCGATCCTGAAGAGTGGAGAAAGCAGCTGCTTCAGAAGAGGGGAGGGAAGGAGGCTGGGGTACCAAATCACTGGGTCTCCACCAGCTGCTCCAGCTGTTTACGTCCCCCCTCCCCACAATCCCCCAGCTAGATGGCTGGAAAAAGCCCACCTGGGAAAACGGCAGAGCCAGAAGACAGGGAGGCAAAGCTCACCTTTCCTCTGCCCCGCATAGGATGCCTCAAGCCGCCCAAGTTCAGGGGTTAATGGGAATCCCAACAGAATAGCACCCTAACTGTCCAAGTGCTTTCCCAAAATAATCACACATGCACAAGCTTTTACCCAAGAAAAAGTGGGTAAATCTGGCAATCGGCTACCCTTAAGCCTTCTCCCTGATATGCTAAATTTCTGTCTGCAGAGAAATTTTATTTATGGGCACATCCTGATGTTCGATAACTCATCCCCCCTGGCTGCACCACCTTCTGCAGTTTGGAACAATACCCCTGGGGAACAGGGATGTTCTGTGAAGTTTCTGCTCATCTGCTTCGGAACTAGCTTTCTGCAGGCAGGGAATTCCTGATCCAGGGAAGGCTGCAGTGCCACGATCCCTCGCTTTCTTTCTATTACAGCCCCAAGTGGCACCAGGCGACTGCAAATGACGCTGAAATCCAGGAATGCTCCATTCCCCAAGACTGCTCCAGAAATTGTCTCTGTGCTAATTAGTTGGGGTTCCATTGCAGGGAAATTAGGGTGCTGGTGGATGCTTGAGGAGGTTAAATGCGGTGGATCTACGCTTGTACGCCTGTGCCGGCTGGAAGGAACAAAGGTCCAAGATCCTTACCACATTGGACAGGTTCACACAGACCTCCTTCATAGACCTTCACTGGTGGGTGCCCAGGTGGCTCGACCGGGGCTGCCGCCGGAACTCCTCGGAGGCCGTCGCTAGCTCCTGCCTGTAGTCCTGGACAGACTGTATCTCTTGGCTGTGTCTCAACAGTTCATTATTCTTGTGGGCTTCATAGTGGAACTGTGAGGTTCTCATTTCGTACCTAAATCGCGGGGCCAAGGGGAGCGTGTTGGATGGATGCAGCCCGACCAAAGGATGGGGGACTCTGGGAAGAAGGATCCAGGCAAGGTATGAGAGGGCTGGGACAGACCATCCTGACAGCACGTGGCTCCCTGCAGTGCCACAGGGACAGCGGTGCCGGAATCCGCCCCAGTTTAGGCTCCTGGCACTGTACCCCCTCTGTACACCTCTGAGGCAGAGGGGCTGCCCTCTGCCTTGAGAAGATATGCTTACCACTTGGGTTTGGGGCCGCGCGTCCGTTCCAGCTCCTGCTGCCTCTTCAGCTCCAGCAACCATGCCTCTTCCACCCGCAGCCGCTCTAGCCAGAGACGAGCCAGCTCTTGCTGGTATGGTGATATTTCGATCAGGGAACTGCCTGTGGCACCTTCAGCAAGAATCTGAAGGAAGCTGAGCGGCCGACAAGAAGAGGCTTGTCATGTTTTCTGCAACATCCCCAGGAAGGTTTGAAAATAATCACGCTCTTGGTCACCTATGGTGAACCACAGTCTTTTGTAGGCAACCAGGCATGGAAATTTAGAATCAGTCTGTTGTTTCTTCTGTGCCATGCTAATCATGCCTTTTTTTGGGGGTTTGGAAAATGTTTTCAGGCCTATTTGCCTGCTTGTTGTCATGGCTGGAAAACTGGAAACATGTTATTATAATTATCGTTATTTCTATACTGCCCAATAGGTAAAGCTTTCTGGGTAGTGTACAACAATAGATAAAATATAAATAACAGGGAAAATGACATAAACATTTACTAGGGATTTAAAATGGAAGTTTAACTAGCAGTAAGACAGATTTATGTATTATTGATTTTAAATAAACATTTTCCAAGATTCAAATAGCCTGCTAAAACCAGATGTCAATTCATATCCCCCAAAAGCTTTTTAGATCTTTTCAACACCCTGGAATAGAGGACAACCTTAGCCTGGTGCCAAAAGGAGAGTAACATTGGTGCCAGGCAAGCCTCAGTGGCAAGAACATTCCAGAATTTGGGGGCCACCACAGACAAGACCCTCCTCCTTGTATCCGCTGACTTAGCATCCCTTGGAGGAAGGGCCTCAGAAGCTCAGCATGGCTTCAAGGTAGACTGTGGATGGGAGACCCATTTCACAAACCCAGGAATTCACGGAATCTTCCCAGAGGTTTTCTTTTCATATCTGCACAGCGAAATAGCTCAACATTGTGCTTTTTTCTACCGCCATCTATCTTTAAGCTGGTGGAAATGCCAGCTGCCTCCAGCACTTTGGATTCTCAGCCATCTCCTGCACCCCCGTTTACGCGCTTGGACGATGCTGCCCAGACCGCAGTGCCCTGCCGTGACGCACAGATAATTCAGCCAAACCTAGACTCAGTTTGCTCTGCGACTGACGTTAGACCTCCTGTGAGGCAGAGCCGACTATGAAAACCAGACACCGAGAAGCCCTCTTACCGTTCATTGATCTCCTGGGATGTCGGTGAGGAGATGGCAGTAGAAGGCAAACTGTATGGGCTCCAAAATTTGTCGGTTCCTCCCCTTCCAGTTGTCCTGGCGGGTGCCCAAGACCTGGCAGCCAGTGTTCCTGGGCTGTATATCCTGGACCGTGACTGCCGGCTCGATCCGCCATTCTTCCTGATGGTCCCAGCCTTTCCGACCTCCGGTGGAGGCTGGGCACAGGCGTTGGCTTTGGCTGAGCTGGGTCTCCAGACAGGCCTCGGTGACTGAGACCGGGATCGGGTCCGTTTGGCCGCCGGAGAGACGGACTGAGAGAGGGCAGCCCTAGCGCGATGGAGGCTCAGAGAACGGCCTCTGTCGAGGGAGAAAGTCGCCCTTTCCGGCAAGCGAGCCTTGACGGGGATCTTTGGGGGCAGCAAGGCCTTGACGCCAATGACATGAGGGGCCCCAATTTTCGGTGGGAAAGCAAGATCCACCGAGGGTGAAGAGTTCTGACCTGCGATCTCACTTCCCAGCAGCCCCGCTACCCGGTTCACTGGGGCGACGGAAAACGTTGGAAGGCCCAGGTGTGTCAACACTGAATAATCTCCTACAGGTCTGAGCAGGTGTCTTGGCTTCAGGAACCACTCAGACTCTGCTGGTGTCTTTGGTGGCCCTCCAAGGCCCGGTTCCTCATAGCTTCCACCAGGAGCCACCGGCCACCTTGAGCTAAAGGGTCTCGAATCAAGCACACCTTCCTCTCCTGAGCTCAGAGTAGAGGCCAGGCTGTCTGCTTGCACCTGAAGTTTTCGCAAGCTTTCTTCCAAGGAATCAATGCTGGGAATCTCATTGCCGTGATGAAATGAGAATTCACCTATGGGAAAGGCAAGCCATTAATGTGAAACAGCAGTGGCCGACACGACCGGCACATCAAGACTATCTCCCCAAAATGTGACACACGCCCAGTAGAATCCTAGCAGACTGTCCTGAAATTGTGAGAAAAGAATGATTGTTCACCATTTCACTCCAAAGATGTCCAAGGTTCACCTGCATTTTATTCACATTAAGTAATGTGAATATATTTGTTCATAGACACATCGTATTTTCTATTTCCAAAGGAGGCCTTGTGGTAGTTTGGCCAACCTCTCACAAAAGCCCTAGTTTGAGCACAAGAGGGGAGGTGGCTACCTGAGGAAATGAGGAAGTGGTCAGCTGGCCAGTGAACCAGCAGGCAGGGTCTTTGCTTGAGGTGCAAGATCCCTTCCAGTTGGGCCTGTGACATTTGGATTGGATTACTGTAATGCGCTCTGTGTGGGGCTGCCCTTGAAAACAGTCCGGGTGCTTCAATTGGTGCAAAACAGAGCTGCCCCGTTGCTGACAAGGACCAGTCGTTACTCTCATATAACGCCGGTCCTCTATCGGCTTCACTGGCTTCCGATTGAAGTCTGGACCCAATTTAAGGTGCTGGTGTTAGCCAATAAAGCCCTAAATGGCCTGGGACCAGGATACCTGAAGGAACGTTTCTTCCCTATGAGCCCTTGCGCCCCTTGAAAACTGCAGGAGAGGCCCTGCTCCGGGAACCCTCCCTGAAGGAGGTAAGGATGGTCTCCACCTGGAGGGCCTTTTCTGCGGTGAAACCCAGACTACGGAATGTCTCCTCAGAGAGAGTTCACCTGGTGCCGACTTTATATTCTTTTTGATGCCAGGTGAAAACCTATTTATTTGCCCACCATTTTAAGTATTAGGAATTTTTAAACCTGCTTTTAACTATCTACAGTTGCATTTTGATTTTGATTTGGTTTTGTCTTTTCTTTTATCAGTGATATGTTACTGTTGGTTTTATGTATATTCTTAATTATTGTCAATTGTTGTTTTTGATTATGGATTGTTTATTTTGATTTCTGTAAGTCGTCCTGAGATGCTTTGCATATAGGACAGGGTAGGAATACTTTAAGTAAATATATAAATTTGCTTCCGACTCTTCCCACAGCCAATGTGCGACCAACTGATTCCCCAGAAGGGAGTGTGGTAGAAAATGGTTGTCCATCCTTGCTCTAACCACTATATCACAATGGCTGCCACTCTTACCTTCTTCCTGAACCAGCCCTGATCTCTTTTTGTTGTCTCCAAGAAGATTCTGTAAGCTACCACGGCTTGGGAAGCTAAGGTTGTGTGTAGCGTTGCTTCTGCGGCTGTTGCTAAGGAAATCATTTGGTTCCTCTCTTTAAAACAAAAACACACAAACAAACAAACATTGCGACATGTTGCATATTTCCATTTCAGCAAGCCAGGCTCACATTTTCTGTTACTCTAAACTCTGGAAAGGATTGCTAATTATAGCAATTCTTATGTAGTCCCTTATGCTCCCCACCTCCCGGCTACATTCGCCAGGATATTTTTAGCAACAGATTATTATTATTAGGATTAAAAATGGCTGGTCCAGCCACCAACTTCAAACAAATGGATTACAGTTATATTCTGCAGCGTGGTAAAGTTTAGACTCTGCACTTGAGAGTCTCACTTTATTTAAAATATGGCAGACAATGTTTATTACATTTGGGCGTCCTTCTGTTCATTCCAATGCCCTAACGGCAGCGAAGTTTATATTTACAAATACTAAATTGACAGTGCCTTAACACAACAATTAAGTACCAGATACCTTTCACACTTTGCCTTCATTATTTCAGCAAAGGCCCTGTTCCAACACACCAGCAAAGGCCACCCAGATGTGTGGGACTACAACTCCCATAATCCCCCAGCCCACTATGCCATGAAACAGTAAAGGAATGAGAACTCACTCATCTCCTTTCTGAACCGGGTGCCTGCCAGAAGGCGTGGGCTCCAACTCCCAGCATCCCCCAGGCAGCTGATAGGGGATGCTGGGACTTGCAGTCTAACGCTTCTGGCAAGCACCCTGGTCAGAAAGGCTGCCTCAGACTGAAAGCCCCTCTTCCAAAAATCCACCCAATTCACAGGGTTTTCGCCACTCGATTTCACCGAGTGGGGGGACAGGGTTGGGGGGGGTCCCTTATAGCCCCCCTTCCACACCCCGCAGATTCTCCCGGGCTCCCTTCAGCACCTGAGGGCGGCCCCGCAGCCTCGAACGCGCAAACCTGCAGCCTCTGCCATGTGCGGTAACATCACCGCCATCCTCCCTAGCAACCGCCCCAACAGTCCCGTTGCTAGGGAAAAGGACCGCCTCCTCCCTCCACCCCGACAGACGACTAATTTTGGCCCTTCTCTTTTTCCGTCCTCCCTTAGGTTTGCCACACTTCCGCGTTCCGCCTTTCACTCGCCCAGAGCAGCCAATCAGCAGGGGCCTCCGCTGTGGGAACCAATAGAGAGGAAGGAGGAGCGGGGCTCGCGGTTGCAAAAAAAGGCAGGCAATGAATGAGCGCCAGCTTGGAGCTTCGGCCAATCAGCTTTCGAGTTAGGACCCACAGGCAGTGAAAGCGCAACATGGAATAGAGAACAAATAGGGCACAATTTTTGTCTTAGAAACACAGAAACAGAGCGAGTCCGAAGGGGCCTCCCGGGCCATCTAGTCTGACCCCCGGCTCTGCTCACGACATGCCCACCATGTGCACGTCCAGCCTGTCCTTGAACACCCGCACCGATGGGGCCTCAACCACCTCCCGGGGAAGCCCATTCCACACCCTCGGGGTCCTGACTGTCAGGAAGGGCTTCCTGGCATCCAAATGGAACCTTGGCTCCCTAAGCTTTGCTCCCTTGGAGCGCGTCCTGCCTTCTTCCGCAGGGGAGAACAGGTCCCTACCCACCTCCGTGTGATATCCCCTCACATACCTGTATGTCGCCAACAGACCCCCTCTGAGTCTCCTCCAGGCTGAAGAGACCCAGTTCCCTCATTCTCGCCTCATACCCCATCCCCTTCTGTTCCTGGAGTGGGAAGGACAGCTGCCTGCAAAAATCTTCAAAAATTAGAATTCTGGCTCGGCTGGGATTGGGCAAAAGAGGGGACGTAGACCGTTTGAAATGTCTCGGGCTCAAGTGAGCCTAGCACTGGCTACAACCCCAGAGTCCCCTATCCTTCCTTCCCGCTGGCCGATGATGTGTTCTAAAAGATTGCACACCACCCTGATGGCTTTTCAGCAGAGGCAGAGCTTCCCGTTGTAAACCGTCCCGGGACGTTAGTAATGGGACGGTCTATAAAAGCTTAAAATAAATAAAAAATAAATAGTGGCTACATACTAGGACTAGGTATTAGGATATTGGATAATAGCACTGGGACAGCAGAGACCTGAGCTTCAGCCAAGAAGCCCTCTGAGAGACTTCGGGCCGGTCGCTGCCACTCAGCCCAGGCTACCGCACAAGGTGGTTGTGCCCACGGAACGCAGAACCACGTCCGCCGCCGCGCGGCCCTTGCCAAGGGCTCTTGGAGGGACAAAAGCGGCAGCACACCCGGAAACTGGCCGCGCGCGCCGGTGAGAGGACTCTTCCAGCATAGCTCTATGGCCGCTCCGCGCTCTCCGCCAATGGGCGCGCGAGGGCGCCGGAAGGGGCGGCGGCGCCTGCGCGGAAGGCCGGCGCCGGGACCGCGTGTGCGCTGCGCGCCGCCTGGCATCATGTCGTGGCTCTTCGGGCTGAACCGC